GGGTTCGTGCCCCGGTCCGGGAAGATCCCAAATGCCGCGGAGCGGCTGGGCCCGTGAGCCATGGCCGCTGAGCCTGCGCGTCCGGAGCCTGTGCTCCGCGGGAGAGGCCACAACAGTGAGAGGCCCGCGTACCGCAAAAAAAAAAAAAAAAAGTAAAAAGAAACAGGAGAAATTCATTTTGATAATATATTTTATGTTACCCAATATATTCAAAATATTATCATGTCAACAGGTAATCAGTATAAAATTACTGGGATAGTTCACATTCTGTTTTCTTACTAAGTCTTCGAAATCCATGTGTACTTTACACTCACAGCACATCGCAATTGGGATTCTCTTTACTTCAAGGACTCAGTAGCCACGTGTACTAGTGATTCCCGCCTTGGACGTGCAGGTCCGGGAGGACACACCCCAAACTATTGCCATTGGTCATTACTGAAGGATGAAAAATTAGGGGACTGGAAGGTGTGAAAGAGGACATTCTATTTTCTTAAACTCTTTTTTCTGTACTCTTTGAATCCCCCCACCAAGCGTGTCTGTATATTAACTTTGTAATTCTTTTTAAAAACGAATAAAAGTGAAAAAAAAAAAACCCAGCCTCTCAGAGTGATGGTGAAGATGGCATGAGATCATGTGGAAATCATTCTGTAGATGATAAAACCCTGTCCAAATATGTTTGTTTATTTATGCCCCTCCTTTTGCCAGAAAAGTTGGAGCGTAGTTCACAGGGATATGTGAAATACAAGAGTAACAAAAGTTAAAAGTGGAAGCAAAAAGAGAAAGAAAACCAAAGGTGGGGGCCTCCAGTGAGGCTCACCCGGTTCCCAGCATCAGACTGGGGCCTTCCAGCAACTTTCCCGTGAAGATGTCAGCTCTTCCCCAGGCCCTCTGGGATCCACTGCCTCCCCCTCCTACTTTCCCTCTTCCTCCCTTAACTTCCAACCTCCCCACCCTCCGGCAAGACCAGGCTCCTCACAGCACATTAATTCTAGCCTCTGGCCTTTGGTCCTGCTGTTCTCTGTTTCATGCTCTCCTCACCTGCCTCATCTACCTGCCTGGACCCCTCCTGCTCAGGAGTAACTGCCACCCACCTTCCCGGCCCCCATTCACCAGCCCTTGACAGTCTCGCCCTCTGAAATCTCTCACTGCTGCCTCCCACCATACTAAGTAACTCTTTTTTTTTCGCGGTACGCGAGTCTCTCACTGTTGTGGCCTCTCCCGTTGCGGAGCACAGGCTCCGGACGCGCAGGCTCAGCGGCCATGGCTCACGGGCCCAGCCGCTCCGCGGCATGTGGGATCTTCCCGGACCGGGGCACGAACCCATGTTCCCTGCATCGGCAGGCGGACTCTCAACCACTGCACCACCAGGGAAGCCCCTAAGTAACTCTTGACCATATGCTGTCACGTGTGGCTTTCCCACTCAAATGAACAATTTCTGAGCACCAGCTGTGGACCAGGAACTGTGGGAAGTTCAGTCCTGCCAACAATGATGTCTTATTTGGCTCTCACGGAGCTTCTGAGGGCATGGGGTTCATTTACTCCGAGGCTGAGTTCTGTGAGACACCATATCCTCCTTCAAAGTCCCCAGGGTTCCCATGGTTGATTCACTAGGATCTGCACTAGTGAATCATCCCTTCACTTATGCCACCCACCAGGAGCTGAGGCTTTGCCCCACACCCCTTGGTCCTTCCTTGCCCAACTTCTTCCTTCCTTCTCAGGACCCATGAAACCTAAGCCCCCTTCCCATCTCCCCCGCCAATCCCCAACAGGGGTCACAGCTCCTCTGTATCGTCAGGATGGAGCACTGAGGCGGGATCTGTTTCCCCCATGTCCTCATTGAAAATGTAGATGAGAAGGGAAGGCGTGGCATTGCTCCCTTGGCCTTAGCATGCAACCCTGCAGACTGTGCCCCTGGCTGGGGACACAAGTGAAGTAAGTGAGCCGGTGACGCCTGAATCTGGTGGGGATGGGGGTCGGAGCCACAGACTTCCCTTTACGTCCCATCCAATCCTTTCGGTCCTTCCATAGTAAAGACAATTGGAATTATAACTGTAGTAATAATAGCTAACGTTCACGGAGATTTGCTGAGCCAGTGCGTTAAAGCGCTCTGCGTGGCCTAGCTCATTTGATCCTCACAGCAACTTTATGAGCTAGCTTTTATTTTTATCTCCATTTCCCAGATAAGGAAACCAAGTTTTCTCCCCCAGGGAGGACAGAGGGTAGATTATTAAGCTGCAACTGAAAGCAGAAGGGAAGAATGAGCAAAGATGACAAGAGCTTCCAGAAACACTCCCTTTCTCTCCCTGCCCCTTCTTTTTCCCCAGGGTCTCTTCATTTCCACTTCTAGAGGAAATGAAGTTGGAAGAGAAAGAAACAAAAATAAATACAAGGAAAAATAAACATAAGGAACTAAAGGCACATCCTTGGTGCTACAACGAGTGATGCTTCCCCCCACCCGCTGCCCACCAAGGCACCAGCCGCAGGGGACGGGCTACCTATTGGGAAAGAAAGGAGGGGCTTGCCCTATTTCTACAGCAACAACCTTTCCAGGGCTTCCAAAGACCAGAGTCCAAATCCCCTCCACCCCATTGGGTGGCCAGAAGAGTTCCCTTGCCCAACCTTCCAATCTGGAGGGCCTCTCACAGGGGCCCATTCATTACCTAGCCAGAAGCAGGTTAACTCCTCCCCCAGCTCAGCCCCCTTCTCCCAGGCTGACAGCTCTCCAGGCTGCGTTGGCCCTCACTCCATTCTCCCCTTTGCCCCAGGAAGGGGAAGGGTCCCAAATCTATTAGCACAGCAACTAGGTAAATGCCAACGGAAGCCTCCCAACCCCATGGCTGACCCTTTATTACCCAGGCCTCTGGTTTGTCTTGCCCCAGACCCTTGATCATGCTGGGTAGCACTTCCCCAAGATGAGGGTCTTTTAGGATGCTGCCATCACTTGTCCCTAGGGAGTTGCCTCCTCCAGCACAAGGATCCAGGCTCCTGCTGCAAAGCTCTGCTCATATCCTTTAAGGAAACTCTCAACCCTTCTCCCACGTCACTGGTTCTTATTGTGTCTACTCCTTGAAAGATCTCCAGTTACTGAAGTACATAAAAGGTACCAGGATGCATGCGTCCAAACCTAAGTCATGGGCAGCATTCATGAGCATAGTTTATATTTCCATAGTGCCTCCCCTTGGTCCTCACACCCACTGGGCAGTGGCCCTCTCCCAAGCCCCTTCCACCTCTCCTCCTCCAGCACAGTGTCTCCACACTCCGCCAGGCCCAGCTCAGCTGGGCCTGGCTCCTCCCCTGAGCCCCAGGTGGCCCCATCGCAACACTCACCCCACCCCCAGCTGCCCCAGAGGGTGTTCACATTACCGTGTAGGTGCTCCCAGAGGCTGCCGGCTTGTCCAGGAACAGTAGTTCCTTCTCTGAGAAACAGAGAGGTCAGCCAGACCCCGTCGCCAAGCCAGCAGGCAAGTGCAGGTGGGCGGGGAGTCCAGGCAGGAGTGACCTGGCACTTCCGTTTCCCGTCAAAGTCCTGCCTCTCAGCTGCCCTAAGGAGGGGTGGGGAGTCTGTCCCTGTCTATTGGCAAAGTCCAGCCAAGGTGAGGGAGGATCGCAGGAGTCCGTGGACTAGGTCTAGGACTAGGTCTAGGACTAGTAGTCTAGGTCTGGAAGGGAGGGGACAGAGGGAGACAACCTGGGTACAGGTGAGACCTCTCTAGAGTGCCCTCTGCTGGTCAGTGGCTGTCCCCCACCAGAGACTTAAAACGGAACAAGGTAAGAGGAACCCTAACCAGGGCTCCTCAAACTGTAACGTGCACGAACCGCCTGAGCAACCTTGTTAGAATGCAGGTTCTGATCCCGTTGGTCTGGGGCGGGGCCAAAGGTTCTACATCTTAGAAGCCCCCAGGTGATGCCATTGCGGCCTGTCCAGGGGGCTTAGACAATACCTAGTTCTACACCCTTCCTGCACAGATATGACCCACAGCTGCTGGCGGCACTGGGGCACAGCCATATCTGCTCCCTACCCGGTGCCCTTTCCACTGCCCACAGGGATGCTGCCACTTGGGGGAGAGTTGAACTTCAGGCCGTTTGCCAGCCTGGTCCTTCCTTTGACACTCTGCCCCTGGAATGAAAGCTCCCTGTGCAGAAGGATGTTTTTTCAGCCATTTGCTCTGTATCCTTAGCTCTCAGTACAGCCCGATCCAAAGTAGGTGTTCAATAAAGACTCGAATGAATGAATGGGCCAGCTGAGAGAAAAGGGGAGGCATTTTGAATCCAGACTGCCAACACTGAAACCAGTGACCCACCTGCTGGCTGTGTAATCATAGGCTAGTTTCTCAACCCCTCTGAGCCTCACTCCCCTTGTCTATCAAATGCACATAATAATATTTACTTTGCGAGGGATAATGATGGTCATTACTGAGCTAATAAATACAAAGTGCACACCGTGAAATGGTTACTCAGCAAGTGGTAACTTGTCCCTGTGCTCTGGCCTCCTGCAGCGGAGGTCACTCCTCCAGGCCCGAAGTGATCGTCTACCATGGAAAATAAGTAACTGCTGCTGCTTTCGTCTTAGTTAATGATTCTCTAGCCTCTTGTCCCGGACTGCACCCCCTTCCCCTGGGCTGCCTTCCCCAGGAGGAGGGGATAAACACCTCCCAGGGGTGCCCAGGTCTGCAACGTGGAAAGATGGGGCAAAGGAGTGGTGGAGAGCAGCCAGCCTGGGGAGAGGACCTCATGTCTAAAGGGCAAGCAAGGAAGAGGTGCTCAGAACTTTGACAGGAATGAAGAGCAGACGTGTTGGACTTTGCTGGACAAAGCTCTGTCTGAGTCACACAGGAGGTTGGCTGCCTTTTCCCCTGAGTCATGAGGTTCTAGGGGTTTGTGAAACAACTGTCAAGCTCAGCTCCAAGCCAACTAGCAGACAATAGCTAGGGGCTGTGTCCATGTCTCATGAGATCATTTCTGAAGCTGGTGCTTGCCTCACTGGGGACAGCCCCAGTTACAGCCCCAGTTCCGGGGAAATCTGAGGGTCCCCACCACCGCCACGGACACAAAGCTGGTTCATGGGATGCAGTGACTACAGGCATGAGTAGCCTGGCAGCCTGGGGCTCAGCCGTCGCAAGAGGTCCGGGTCTCACAGCACCAACACCTCAACAGTTCTATCAAGGGGACTTCTCCAGAGGCCGGGTCTAGCAGACCAGGGCCTGCCCTGCTGAGACGAACGCTTCCGGGCCATGCAGGCAGCAGCCTGGACTCCCCAGCCAGTGTCACCACCCTTGTCACTGGAGAAGGGCAGGCCAGCTAGGAGCCCCCCTCCACCCTCCTCCCATCCCCAAGCCTCCTCTGCCCTCCACACATCTTACATCCCCGGCACTCCGTCTGCGAGGTATGCTGCCTGAGGTAAGGAGAACACAGGCCTGGGAATAAATAAAGGGGCGCCAGGAGTGGGGAGGACAGGAAAAAGGGAAGGGGGGTCGGGGGGACCTCCAACACTGGGTAGAAAAGTAGAAAACACAGACATAGAGACACAGGAAGGCAGAAGGTGAAGAAATGGACAGTGAAAAGCAGAGAAAGAGAAATAGAAAGACGCAGAGGCAGACAGGGTGGTTCTCCCTGTCTCCAGAACCTCCAGGACATGTTCATGGACCCTTGACAGGAAAGGATGGAGTAGGCAGTCACTCCGGACACTGAGAATAACCACATTTTTTTTCCTTCTAATCCTGTCAATCATGGGGTGGAGGCTGAAATATCACGGGCTAATGAGAAGCATGGTATTGGGTGGGGGCCTTGGTTGGAGGAGGGTCTGTGCATCATCCCACATGCAAAGGACATGCAAAGCTACATGCAAATGAGTATGGCAGTGTTTTAATCAAAGACCAAGCGGTGGTTTCCTTGAGAAGTCAGGCCACAAAAAAATCTGGGTGGTTGTGTTTGTGGCCCCGACCCTCTGGAAGCAGAGGGATGGAGGGGGAACCTCCCCCAGCTCCTGAAGGGAAGATGAGAACTTTGGAGAAAGGAATCTACAGTGTCACTCGGCTGAGTTTGCATTTGGGCGGGAGCTCAGGCAGGGTGGGCCCCTGGGGTTTGCTGGTCTGGTACAGCGAGATAAGCCCGGGGCAGTTGGGCAGGCCAGTTCTGGACTAGAAAAGACCCCCAAGGATCTCTGGCTCCTGCCTTCCAAATGTGGTTCTTCCAGGTTGGTTATGTCAGCTTGGTTGAGTTCAGTCTGAGACACTGTGCCCATCGAGGGACTGCTATGTACCTGGCCAAGTGCCACCCACTGAGAGAGGCAGAAAAGACGGGCCTACCTGGACCTGAGATCCAGGAGCCAGACACACGCTGGGGGAGAGGAGTCCTTCACTGAGAAGCAGTTATCAATACTAGACAGTACACTCCCAGTGCCAAATAAGCAGTGTGGAGAAAGAAAGTCCATGGAGGGTGGAAAAGGGGGAAGGCAGTGTGGGCCCAGAGGAGGAGGGTGTTTGCTCACCCAGTGGGGCTTCTATGAAACATAAAGACGCACAGGCAGACAGGGTGGTTCTCCCTGTCTCCAGCACCTCCAGGACATGTTCATGGACACTTGACAGGAAAGGATGGTGTAGGCAGTCACTCCGGACACTGAGAATAACCACATTTTTTTTTCTGTCTAATCCTGTCAGTCATAGGGAGGAGGCCCAGGACAGGCCTATGAGGGGCCCAGGCCAGGGAAGAGTGGCAGGTAGGAGGAGACAGACGGGCAGACACGGGGAAAGGACTAGGAGAAGGCCACCGTCAGTGTGTTCTCTCCCTCCCCAGGCTGTACCTCCTCAAGGAGAATGTGGCCTCAAGGGGCCGCCTTTGTGGCCCTGCCCCTCCTGGGGCCCACCCTGGTCTGGCTGCTCACCCATCATTGGATGTCTGGCTGGTGTGACAGCCTGAGAAAGCTGCCCTGGTGCCCATCCCACAGAGTCTTGTTGCTGGTGTGGACAGCCATCTACTCTATCACGGGGTGAGTGTCTGTTTCTCATGCCCTGGGGTGGGAACAAGTCTCCTATCCCTGAACTGCTGCCGTACACTGACTTCTAAAGGGATGGTACCTCGTCTTGCCTCTTCTGGGGTGTCCCCTCTGTGCCTGCCTCGGGTTCCAACCCCTCCCTCTTCCTCTACCCTCTCCCAGTATCCCCATCCCTTCCCCCCCCCCCCCCCCCCCCGCCCCCAAATGATGCCTAGATCCACTTACCCCGATTTCAGCCCATAAGGATTCCCTCTTGGTAACCAAAAGGCCCTAAGCCAGAGGGCTTTCTCCTTTTACCACAGAACACCCTCCTCTGAGCGTTTCTGCCACCATCTCTCCACAGATATGCCTCCTACCTTGTGTGGAAGGACCTGGGAGGGGGCTTTGGGCGACCCCTGGCCCTGCCCCTCGGCCTCTATGCTGTGCAGCTCGCCATCAGCTGGACTGTCCTGATTCTCTTGTTCACAGCCCACACCCCCGGTCTGGTAAGGTGCCAGTGCTCAGCAGTGGAATAGGGTAGGGGAAGATGAGGCCACCAGGCCCCAGAAGCTGATAGCACAGCAGGTCAATCAGGTGTGGGCAGGTAACGGTTGGGCAGACTTCTCTGAGCTTCTGTGGCATGCACAGAGCGCTGGGAACTTGGCTCGCTAGGTCCAGGGTGCTGCAGAAAGGTCGAGGGCCGGTTCCCAGGGCAGCCTGCCTGACCGCCCTGCCCCTGCCCAGGCCCTGCTGCACCTGCTGCTGCTGTTCGGGCTGGTGGTGAGCACGGCACTGATCTGGCACCCCATCAACAAGCTGGCTTCCCTGCTCCTGCTGCCCTACCTGGCCTGGCTCACCATGGTTTCTTCCATCACCTATCGCCTGTGGAGGGACAGCCTTTGTCCAGAACACCAGCCCCAGCCCACATGGGAGAAGAGTGACTGAGGCAGGGGGCAGGGGAGAGGGAGAGGGACAGGGTGGGGATAGAGGAGACCTCAGGCAGGGCTGTGGAGCTAGGGTGGGGATGGGGGAGGGGGGGAGGGGGGAGGGCTTGATGAGTCCCTGAAGGTGACTCGCTCCAATGTGGCCACTGTCCTGGGTCCCCTGGTGCCACTTTCCATTAGGATTCAGAGACATGGGAAAGGAGGGAAATTTATTTCACACTTAATATAAAATAATAAATTCTGTATTAATAAGAATTAATTTAGTAGTATCAATAAATAAAATCCTAACTATCTTTGAGGGTATGATGTGAAATGTATACTTGAGTGTATGAGGTCCAGGGCTGCAGGGTGGGAATAGACGTGTCTGTACATCTGTGTGCATGTGCACATGTGAATGAAGGTGTGAGCGCACGTGTGGGAAGAGTGGGCACACCATTTCCGCTCACATGCCCTCACAAACCTGACCCCAAAATTTAGGACTCGGATTTTTTTTAACAGATTTTTTTTTTTGGTCACACTGCAAGGCTTGTGGGATCTTAGTTCCCCAACCAGGGATCGAACCCTAGGCCCCTGGCACAGAAAGTGGCAAGTCCTAACCACTAGACCGCCAGGGAATTCCCAGGACTTAAATTTTTAATTACCTGAAAAGTAAAGTGTTTTTGAAAAGTTACAGAATATCAAAACCAAAAAGTAGATAAAGTAAAAAGGATACCAATTATACTTGTCAAGCTATATATTATATTGATTATATATTTTGTATTATGTATCATATATAAATATAAATATATATTATGTATCACATATAAAATATTATATAGTCTACAGTATATAAATTTTATTTAATTAATTTATTTTAATTACTATTAAATATTAATTTTTAATTAATTAATTTAATAAATTGATTTTAATTAATTAATTATTAATTTCACTAATAACAGTATCATAGTATATATTATGGTTCTATGATATATTATACATTATATTTGTCATATTAAGACCTTCTGTCATTATCTCTGATAAGATTATAGATCTTTTTTATTTTTGTTTTCATATACTCATACTATTAGTTTTTTACATCAATTAATTATTATTGTAATAAGAAAAAATGTTGAAAAAGGAGAGCTGTAAGCCTCGGTGCTGGCTGGTGAATTCAGAAGGAGCTTCTTGTCCAGCCTTCTCTCTTACTTCTCTTTCTAAACTTTCTTATTGGCTTTTTTTATTTTCCTCGCTTCCCTCCTCTTGTTTTCCTCTCCTCTTGTCTGAAAGCCCTGATGGTGGCAAGAAGTGACTGCCCCGGGGCTGGCTCCCCAAATCTTAAACAAGGTCAGCTGGAAGACCCAGGCGCCTTGCGGAAGGAGCTTTTAAAAATACCAACCAGACTCTCTAGGGAGGGGCTTGGGCATCAGTGTTTTTAAAACTGCCAGGAACCCCTCATGTGCAACCCACTTGAGAAACACTGCTGAGGGTGTCCCAGAGCCATCTGGGAGCTTATTAAAAATGCGTATTCCTCGGACCTCACCCAAGACCTAGGAATCAGAACTTTGCGGGTGGGCTCCAGGCATCTTTAGATTTAACAAGCTCCCAGCACTTCAGTCAGCTGCTCGGTGAAATCTCAGAGCTCCAGGCATGGATGGTCTTTCAGGGCCTTTTTTGCTTTGACAACCTTTGGTTCTGTGAGCTGAGTTCTGGGTCTGGAACCAAGGACCACACAGCGGGAACAGACAGAGGACATCATCATTTGAGAAGGAGACTGGCTGTTCCTGGAGCTCACCAAGCGAGGACAAGCGAGAAGGAATCTGCAATCTCCCCGCCTCCACTAAGGGTGTGTTCTGCCCAACTGGGCACATCGGTCACCGGCGTTCCTGGAGGGCACACACAGTGTCCCACCCACCTCTGTGTCCCCAGCTCCAGAGCAGCACAGAGAAGGTGTTCATACATCTATGTTGATTGGTTGATTGAATAAATGAACACATGATCCCATTAAAAGACAATGCTGACCAGCACCCCACCAACACCTACACCCCACTCTGGACCAATTGAAAAAGCCTCTCTCTTGGGGGAGGGAAAGGCATTAATAGTTGTTGAAATTTCTCAGGTGGTTCTAATGTGCGGGCAGATTGAGAACAGCTGCCGTGGGGCGTTGCTTCTCAAAGTGCGGCCCAGTGATCTCCTGGGGCTCTTGTTGATGGCCTGGACTCCAGCCTGGCTCCAGACTCCCGGAATCAGATCAACTTGAGGAATGCGGGCCATAAGGTACGGTGGTTTGCAGTTCCAGCCTTGGAGACAGACCGACTTGGGCTCGGATATTGACCCTGTCAGTAACTGGTAACTGGGTACAACTTACTTCACTGTGCTTCATTTTCCTCATCTGTAAAATGGGGACCTCAGAGAATTTGGGGTAAGAGTAAACGTGTCTGGCACAGAGGAGGTGCTCAATAAATGTTAGCTGTCCTAGGAGGGGACCCCGGGAGGCCACCTGTTTAATGAGCACCCATGGTTCTGATTCACACTGCAATGGGGACCCACCCTGCTCTGAGACCCCGGAAGTACTTCCCAGACTTCCTAAGGGCCGGGAGAGTAAGTGACTTTCCCCGCAGGTCTGTGGGCCAGCCTGACCAGTGTTACACACACAAAATGATGGGCTCTTTTTCTTACACATTCACGTGGATTTTGACTTCCCCTCAATCAGATTTTTTAAAGCTTTCAGTTAAATTGATAACTCCATTGATCCAGGTAACTGTTTTAAATTTATAAATGTAATCTGTAAATACTGATCCAGGACAGGCTCGGGAGCCACACTGCATGGGTTCTCATCCTAGTTCCACTTAAACAAGTCTACACCCAGAAGTATTTGTCATTGTCATTACCATCACCATCTCATGTAGGCATTGCAGATACTTGCTACCACATTTTATTCATGTTGCCAACTAATTCTAGAAATTAAACTGGCCCTCCGAGAGGATGCACCATGCCTGTCACGTGACTGTGACCTCCGCAGGGCAAGCTGATACCACAAGTCCAGGGGTCCAGATGCCTCTAGTTTTGGATATTGGCCCTAGAAGGAAGCTTGATTTGGGCAGTGTCCCAAGCCCTGGGATAGCATGACTGCCCGGCACAGCTTCCTGGCTTTGTGCAAAAACAGCTGGAAAGGGCAGGATCTCCAACCCCAAACTCATAACCTCTGACCCCAAAGTCATCCTTAAAATCCCCCTCAGCCCCAGCTCCTTGGTTCCTGAGTGGGAGCCTCTAACCCTCCAGCCTCCCCACCTGCCTGGCCTCTTGCCCTTCCTCTACCCCGCCTCCCAGTTCTGAGCCCGGTCTGGAGCACACACTGCCCTCGGCCCCTCCTCTCTTGTTACCTAGAGTTGTGCCCTAATCGAATCGGAGCTGCCTTCTCTCTTTGCCAGATGTGTCCCGGGATTCTACCATCCAAATCACGTGTGTGTGCTTCTGTGTCCTTGGGCAGTGTTTTTCCATTTGCCTCTGAGTGGGCACCTGGTGTCTGAATATGATTCACTCGGTGGGTAGGGGAGAGGCAAGGCCTTCACCAGTGTCTGGAGAGGTGGGGAGCAGCTCCAGGTGAAAAAACAACCCCAGGAGGCAGTGTGATGTCTCATTCTACTGTATCCTAGTTCCCTCTCTTCTCCCCTGATCCCTTCATTCTTCTTCCTTTTGCCAATGTCTGCAGAATGGGGATACATAGGGGCAGGTGAGGTGGGGCAGAACGGTAGGTGTATGTCCAGTGGATAAACGTCGGTCGGCTGGGCTGGGAGGCGGGCAGAGTGCAGGAAGTGTTTTCTCTGTGCATCTCTGGTCCCTCCTACCTACGGGCAGGTAGAGGTGATGCCCTAGTGGAGGCGTAACTGTCAGGCCCGGGCCAGGGCTCCAAAGTCTTTTTTCCCTTGTGGTTGCCACCATCCATTCTATTTCCTGGGGTTTCCCTGCACTCCAAGCCCAGTTTCAGAGTCTTCCCAGAGATCCCTTTTCCCGTTGTTCCAGAAAACAAGCACAAGACCCTTTTGTTTTAAAGACTTATTGCTGATCCTCGTCAGTGACGAACTAGTTACCCATCCAAACAAAGCCTGACTTTGGGGGGATCCACTCAGATCTGGCACCCCTGCCACTTCCATCCTCAAGCAGAGTCCACCGAGGCCCCTCCCCCCTACCTAGATTTCAAGGACCCTTCATAACAGAGGTCCCCTCTTCTGGCGTGGGAGTTAAGAGAAGCCCTCTTTGTCACGCCAGGAGCCTCAGTGGTATCTAGTCAACCCCATTTGTCCCCCTAGTGTCTATACCTCTGAGGTCCGTCAGCCTGCCCAGAAATGATCTGCTCAGAGGAGCACCCGAAAAAGCCCCTCCCCCCCACCTTCACCTACCCCAACACATTTCTAAGGGCTGAAAGTCTCCTCTCAAACGTTGATTGTTAAGTTTATCGCTTTCTCCCAGTAGGTTCTTCAAACACCCTTTCAAAGGGGGACACTATTAGTCACCTTAATGGGCATGATTCTTATCAGATCGCTCTCCTCAAAGACTCAAAGCGCCAGCCGCGGGAGCCAGGCAGCGCCAGGAGTGGCCACTGCAATGGAAGACCGCGCGGTGACCAGGAATAAAGTCCCAGGTGTCACCATTTTCCCCAGGGCGGTGTGTCCTGCATGGCCAGCCAACCGTGATGACCCGCACAGGAGGAGACTGGAAACTCCCGCCGGCCCTGTGACCCTAGAGCCTCCTCCCTTCCTGGCCTCAGACTCTGGAGGCCCTTGGCCCCCATCCCACACCCTGCCAGGGCTCTTGGACACCCCTGTGTTTATGTCAACAGAGCGGTTGCTAGCAGGGTCAGGCTCCTGCCCGCCAGGGCTGTGCCTGGTGCCCGTGGCCCGTTGTTGTGTTCCTCGTCTTGGCAGTGACCGAGGGGCGGGCACGCCAGGGCTGGGTCTCTGGGGCAACGCATTGTTGGGGTCCCAGCTGTCCCTGCACATAAAGCACCCACTCTGTCAACGGGCTCGCAAGGTATCTTCCTTCGCAGAGTGAGAACGTAAACCTTCCCCTGGTGAGGCCGCTATTTTCCTCCAGC